CCGACACCATGTCTCCTGTAGGATCATGATGTCTGTCTCCTTTACATCCTTGATAAATTCAGGATCAGTGCTCTTCAGCCCAAATGCTGACGAGCCCAGACCCTGAATGTTCCACATACTTATCGTTAGAGATCTCATTGTTATCGTTTGAATTATCTTTGCAATTTGTTATTGTTTTCTGGAACAATAACAAATATATAACTATATATAACTAGGATCATGAACAATAACATGTATATATAACTAGGATCACAAACACCCGATTATATACTAATGTATGTATCAGGTACCTGCTCATTAGAAAACCCTATACTCTACTTTTAAGGACAATCTTCTTAGTTTTACCTATTTTTACTGCTAGTTAAGAATCCTCTCTTGGATAATTTTGTTTTTTTGTGCAGAACGAGAAAAGAAAAGAGATATTTTTTCATCTATCCTTCAAGCTAAGTGACATGGCTGGGATTGGCTGTTTCTAATTTATATGCAGGACTACAACAAATGACATTTGCACTTGGCTTAAGCATGAAGAAGAGCTAACAAAAATCTGAGTTTTTCCAAATCGCAAAGTAGGCTATGATTTTTTTTAGTCATTGCCTGTTAGTCTTATACAGCAAGGACAATTTATGCCCAGAGCCTCTGTAAAGCTACAACTGCTTTTAATCTCTATTTTAAATGACATGTAAAGTTTCCTCACCTGCAGGGAGACCATGTCAGGCTTGTACTGCTTGCGGAAGCTCAAATCGTACATTATGAACTTGAGCATCTCAAAAGCCTGCTCCTCACTCATGTGTAACAGCAGCACCCCAGCCAAAAAGCTGATTCCCTGGCAGTAGCCAACCTCCACGTCCAGCAAAGAGTAAGCCTTCAGAAGATTGAAGAGTGACAGCTGGCCGGCACCCAGCTGCGTGGAGAAGTACTGGTGAGTGGGAAATGTCCGTCCTGAAGGACACAACAGAGAAGCAGTTGATTATTAATTAATTAAATGGGAAAATCACCAAAACTAATGTTTGAAAGTGCAAGTCTTTAGGAAGGCACTGCAACATTTGTTCAAGCAAATACCAGCAGATCAGTACACAAAAACTGACACCACTACAGTGTAAAAATACAAGCCAAGAGTGAAATATATTTTTAATTAAAAAGTGCTGGGATCATGAGGGTCTTGTGAAAACTGAAAAGGGGGTGTTGTGTCAAAAAGTTTGGAAATCTCAACCTTTCAAGGTTGAGGTTTTATGGCATCACGCTGACACAAGGTGGCACTGTACAGCAACAAGAGAATGCATTAAAATGATTTCAGCACATTCTTTCTGTTGCTCCTCTCCGTTGTGTTACTAGTACAAAGGAAGCATAGACAGATCAAAAAATATTTATATTAGTCTCAAGCAGTGGTTTTTGGTCTGTCATGGTGAGCCACAGGATTATGCAGACCTCCTTAGTTTCTTAAAAATCCCTCATTGATATGTTTGCACTAATAGATTATCCTAACACTTTTATGTATCTACAGTACTTGTTTATTAGTGGTCAGTAGGGAACATGACTACACGGCTAGAGAAAGTGTATGTATTTTACCGGCACCTTGGCACTTTACTTGTTGTGAAATTAAGCTTCACCTCCTGCTCTACAATAGCCTCTGAGCCACCATTGGTCTCTATATTACAAGTCCCAAAACACGCCTCTGCTTAGGTCCACACATTTCCTCTTATGTGTGTCTTCACTTTCACAAAACTTTTATTTATTCAGACCTTGAAGAGTTTTCTGTATGCCAACCTGTGCAACTCTCAATTATCCAGAGACAAGCAGCCAGATGAGGAAACTACTTTCATTTGAAAGTAGATGTTATGTAGTAATTACCAACTGTTTTGTAGAAGTTTCTATTTGTAACACATACTGTATAGCACCATAACGTTCTGTAATGTAAGGGTTCCACAAAGTTAAAACAGAGATTAGAACCCTGCACTGCTCTTCGAAGTTCAAAAACAAAGTTCATATGTGCTGAACCTTGCAAATACACCCATACCTGTATTAGTCTAGCAAAATGTGGACATACTAAGCATCTCCTAATGACAATAATGCAGACTGGAGAACCTGTATTTCCTTTTACGGTTCATTGGTCATCACTGATTTACACAGAGATTAATGGAAACTATTTTTCCTCAAAGAGTCTGTCAGTAGACTCGTATGTTTGTAGGCAATTGCATTTCTCAGTGAAGTTATATACAAACTGTCCGCCAGAAATCTACTACATTACATGGCTGCATGTGCTTTATGCGTTTGATGTTTTGGGACAGCCAATGTGCTGGTTTCAGATTTACGCCCCTCAGGAAGGTGCTGGTTACTAGTGATCAGTGGCTAAACCATTGAGAAGAAGAGATGGGAAGCAGAGCTTACCAAGATCTACAAGGATGGCATGCTGCTGTGCAGTGAGCTGCTTCAGGAGCTCTTTATAAGAAGTGTCTGGAGGTTGCTGTTTACAGGGAAGCCGGTGTCGCAGGCGATACTGGTGAGCCAGAAACTGCCAGATCTCCCCACGTCGATTCTTTGGTACACCTACATACAAAAACAAGACAAGTGTGAGAGGGCGGTGGGTACAGACAAGATGGAGACTCTTGTCAGAACTACATTCACCAGAACGCTGTATCCTCGATAAAATTTAAAAACCAGTATGTAGAAGCAGATGGTGTTTAACGTTTTGAAGACAGAGGCTTTGTTTTGGAGCTGAAAAGCAGCTTAGTTACCCAGATACTGATAAGAGAGTCTTCAAAGAAGAGTTTGGAGCATGTCTGGTTTGTGTTTTGGAAATAATTACACCGCATACAGTAAATAAAATAGCACCTTTTCTTTTCTTTGGCTGGTGTGTGCGTCTGCTTCACCTAAAGCCTTTGTCACAGTACAGGACTCGACAACTTCTAGTCGGAGAGCATATCAAATTTAACAACTGCAGTTGATGAATCACCCTACTTTTTCTTTCTGCCTTGTCTTTCTCACACCTGAAGAAGGCTCCACAGCCGAAACGTTGTGTTTTCTTTTGTCTTTTTTTCAGCATGGAATAAACCTATTACTTGTTCCTTTGCATAAAACTATTTGTTGATGTAAATAGACACTGTCTGTGAATTAACACTGCTTAGTACCCACACACAATAGTGCTGTGACTGCTACATAACTTACACTGGAATCCAGAATCCAGAGCTCACCTTGACTCAACGCACTGTGGATCTCCTCCATATCACACCGCGCCTTCGCCCGACCAGGAACACTCAGTCTCTTGTCCCATGCTGCTGAAACATCCTTTGGACACTGGCCCACTTCCTGATAATCAAGCTTTATCTTTCGGGTATGGAGTTCATCTCTGCTGGCTGCAACACAAGAGTAAAATCAGTTCTTACTGCCATCTAAGGATATTGCAGTTAAATGTCTTATAAAAAGATGAACAAAACAAGACCTTATCAGCACCAACCAAAACAAAGGAAAGAAACATATACAGGCAAAAACCCATTGTCATCATGTAATCCTAAATCACCCAGGTATATAAACATACCGAAACAGTTTAGAAACACAACACATATTTCAACCCGTAATTCGCAGTTCTAAATACTAAATGATTAACCAGCTTCAGAAATCTTTTGAAAAACAGCTTTGATATTCCAGTAAAAACCTTAGAGCCAGATATATGTGAGAACAGTGTTGTCAGAAATGTATATTTGTGAGTCTGAGCATTCATCGCACATGCATAAAAGCACACACTCATCACTTTACTCACACAGCAAGAATGCCAGTCCTCAGTGAGAAAGATAACCTATGAGAAGCGAAATACCAGGACATTCTGGATCCATTTATCTACCATCACTAGACTACAGCAGTGCTACCATCTGACAGGAAGCAGTTGTAATTGCCTAAACCCAATGCACTGCATATAACAACCCAGAATACTCCACCTGAGGGACCACTTCTGCCAAGTGACGACTATGGCTGCTAACAGAACTCAGTATTGTGGATTGACCCACAAATCCAACTTAAGTTATCAACCTGCTTAAGTGTTGCCACAGTCTGTCATATAGGTACCCACAGGATGGTAACATTATGACTCAATGTCCTGGGGCAGACTGGCAGCATCGGAAAGGCTATTTAAGAAGTCCTGGTACAAGGTCAAAGCAGTGATTTGTATATGGGAAAAACAATGTTTTAGTGGTGGATGGTCATTAATGACAGGCTAATATTTTGCTGGTTGCAGATAATGGTAATCTCACTGTATAGCGCTATGCTGACAGCAGTCTGTGACCTGTGCTTGGCCTGTTGGTACTCCAACACCATAGGCAAGACAAGTACCTCAGTGTAAAAAGTTGGGTAGATGTATAAGTTCACCACCCACAATAACATTGCTGCTCTGACAGCTGCTTGTCCTATTAATATGTATTATGTGTGTTTGTTGAATTTTTCTTATCAATAATTTTCATTTTGATGAAATGGAGAAACACCCCCAAACCCACAGAAAACCTAAATTAGTTCTGTAATCTTACTTTAAATATAGGGTTGGATTTCTAAAATGTTTCAGCTTATTTAAATGCATGAAAAGGACAGAGGACAAAATAATTTCCTTTAATTAATGTTAATAAGATTTAGGTTTAATTAAAATTGTTCATTTCTGAAGGACAAAAAAATGGAAAAGTGAAGTGAACCTCATGCCAGAAGAAAGTTTCCTCTGTTATCCCATAATAATACCGAAGCATGCCATCGTATTGATTAGTGCCAAAACCTGAAGGTTTTTTCTTACCTTCTACTTAAATTGAATATTCACTGTTAATTCATCTCAAAAGAAAAAGGAACAGGAAACAAATAAACTGACAGAAAAGTGAACATCAAACTTCATCAAAGCTTTCTTGACTTAGTAAATACATGTATAAGGGCATCTCTGCAATTGTAATTATTTCCACAAGAGGATGCTCTCGCCATTAAAAGCCACTTGACCACTGAGCCTCCCTTCAGTTCGTAAGACCAATATGGCTTTTGCTTTCTGACAACAACACATTACAGAGTACTCCCAGACAAACCTGTCAATATACGGTGTTTAATCCACTATAAATACCTATTGTACTAAACAAATCTAATAATATTTCCTAACAAAAAGGGAAAATATCAACACAACAGAGCTGTAGCGTTTTGGATCTCTCATTCATAAGTTCGGTTTTGTTGCTAAAGCATCCATGATCCGAGGAAGTGTCTCTATCCACGGGTATTCCCACTGGGAATGAGCGAGTGACTGACCTTCCAGCCGCTGGTTCTCCTTCTCCATGCGCAGCAGCAGGATCTGCTGGTGGATGGCCTTCTTCCACAGGGCCCTCAGATCCTCTGCTGTGTGCCTGGGCCTCTTCTCCACGAAGGCCTCCTCAGGCTGGAGCAGAGCGGCCAGGGGGTCCTTCTCCAGAGCGGGCGCCAGCGGGGACAAAGGCAGAAGCTCCGTCCCATCCAGTCGGTCTACAACCCAACAAAAAGACGCCTGTAAGGATGCACCTTATCGGCAGGCCTTTCTGACAGAACTCTCAATGGAAATATTACTCATTAAATTTGGCTGACACTTTTATTGAAAGCAATTTATATTTGCACCCATTTACATAGCTGGGACAAGTTAAGTAAATGCTCAAAGGTACAATAGCAGTATCTCACAACTGCTTCAAAACAACAACCATGCAGTTACAAGTCCGGGATCCTGACCACTATGGCCACTGCTGCCAATGTATACATTTACAGTCAATGCCTCTAAAAGACTTGACGGAGTTTACACAGATAAGTGTGTGATCAGTTCCCAATACAGACAGTCAGAGCTGAGAAACCTTTTATTTATTACAGCTTTCAGGATAGCAAATTAGAATTCTGACGAGCTAAAGTTGAAAATTAAATATTTTCAGAAATGTACAGCATGGTACTGTATATAATTCTGGTAATATCACTCCTAACAGTTTAAGATTCTGTTTTACAGACTTTAAAAATGGTATCGTGAGTGGCGAATTGCAGCTTTAATTTACTTTAATTTACACTCGAAGAGGGCTGCACAGCTGAAATGTCATTTTTTTTTCTTTGCTTTTCAGCATGGAATAAACCTTTACTTTTTCATTAATTTAAATTTATTCATTCTGCAGACACTTTGATCCAAAGCGACTTACAATTGAATGCAGTCAAGACACAAAGGCCCAGTAACAGCAGCCTGTACAGAGTTTGAAATCTGGTTAAAGTCTGTGCATTTGAAAGCAATGAGACAGACACCTGTTATGTGTAATATTTCCCAAAGAAATGTGACTTTTAAAAATATTGTCCCATACTGAATACAGTATGGCAGTCTGCATGTAGAATTTAAAGGTTAATCCTAAATATATACTGGTCCTGAAATACAGGCTTCTCTAAAACTGGCATTTATGGTAACTAAGAGAGATGGTCTCTCTTATAAAAGTATAAAAGATGCTTTCTTGCATTACAGTGTGTTCCTGTTCTTCTCAAATTGCCCTTTTCATAACAAAATAAAAGGTTTGCTGAACTGCGCTGTGACTTCTTGCAACCCCACATGTTGCAGCAATATAACGCAAAACCACAAGACACTGAAAATGAAAACAACTGAAGGGACCTTTCCGCTGCATCGCGGCGGGGGACTTGCTCATGGGCGAGGCGACCCTGAGGAAGATCTTCTGGCGCCAGGAGATTCGACGGGGGGTGACGGGAGGAACCCCAGCGCTCAGGGAGTCGCTGCTGCACCCCGAGAAGGTCCTCTTCCTGCCTTCACCATTGCTGCAGGACAAACGCCACTGTCACCGGACAGAGAACAGCCAGCGCACACTTCTGCTGAGCAGCTCACGCAGCAGCCCCTGCTAGGGTTTGAACTGCGACACATTAACACTGCAGGTCTGTTAATTATGCCCAGTCGGAACAAGATGCTCTCTGCTGGAGATAGCAGCTTATCCTCAGATGTTTTATTGTCTTTGTTTTCCCTCATACATTTGAAGTACTGGGCAACAGTGCTTAAAACATATTATTTTTTTTCTATTCTACGCACAAGTAGTATTAACTACCAGACTGAATGGCTTCCTCTCATTTTAAACCTTTATTTTCTTTTGAGAGTCAATAACAATCATGGAGAAATAAAGTTTTTCTCTTAATATAAATGTACATTGAACATAATGGTTTTAACTTTTTATTGATGTCACAATCCACCAGTTATTCTTGCATTGTAGAACTACAGGTACAGTATTGGACAAAAAAAGTTGATACCTGAGTAAATGAAGGATTATTGAGGGCTGCCTACCACCCACACAGAGGTGGCTCATGGGCTAATTGAGCACATGACATTCAATCTTCTTAGGGTTACGTATAAAAATGCAGGACAGATCTGGTTCACTACAGTTACGGCCAGCATGGCTGTGTGAGACCTCAATGACTTTGAAGGAGGGGCGATTCTCGGGCTGCATTTACCAGGAGCTTCAGTGACAAAGACAGCTCAACTTGCCAATGTTTAATAAGTCAACACATCTAAGATCATGTCAAAATGGAAATTGGAGGGAATTACATTATCAGCAGGGAGCAACAGTGGGCCAAAAAACATATTCCAGGACTGTGGTATCTGTGGATTAATTCAAAGTCTGTGTCAAAACAAGTGAGAAACTGCAGATCACTTGACTGCAAATTTCAACCTTGGGTACAAGCAGCTAGTTTAATCAAAGAACAGTCAGCTGAAAACTGTTAAGTGTTATAGGCAGCATTTTACTGGCATGACTTGGATGCCTTTACTACTTAATGGTACTGAGAAATCATCTTTACTTCATATTTTATCATTTATTTCTTGCTGGTAGGGATGCCCCAATCCACAGAGCATGCTGGTAGATTTTACACCATGGTGCAAACAGGCTGTGCTGAACCCATGTAGTGACCCAAAACTTTATTAAGTGACCTTACATCGGTATTTCCATTTTTTGTCCATTACCTACATGTTTTAAAAGTTGTGTAATAAAATACTATGATCTATGGTTCAATATTTCAAGGAACTGACTGGTAGATTATATTTTAATACTAATTCCCACTCAAGAGAGGTATTCCAACAGGTACCACAAATCACCTCTTACCTAAGACAGGAGTAGCTAGAATTATTTTCCAAACAGTTGATACCTACATAATTATGCCCAAAGCTAGACAAATTTATAATGGATGTCATATACAGTATGACAACAGTTTAATGTGTGTTATTCAAATATAATTCAAATGAGTAATGACATAGATTTCAATAGTTAAATATTTTTTAAAAATCACCAAAGCTGTACTAGATAATAAAGAAAAACCATTAGAAAAACAAAACATTTTAGTCACGTACAAAAACAAAAAAAAATAAAGTGATATGATTAAATACAGCTTGATTAGTACCTTGATAATTAGTACAAAGCTGTAAGAAGAAGCTGCATAACAAACATAGTAAGTCAGATATCACAGATGCAAAGGAGTCAAAGTACTGAATAAAATGTCAAAAGCTTACAGAAGTGTTTATTTTTCAAATCTCTGAGAGGCTTCATGCCTCTCAGCCTAATACCTTTAGGCCTTAAAGTGCATAAAGAATAGGTTTCTGACAGAAGCAGTTAAAAGTCAATGTGATTAATGCATTAAGTTTAACCTTAAAGACTTTTCAAGATGAATAAGGCAATAATGCTCAGAAAAGCATTTAAGCTACTTGACAAAATGTGCAAAATAACAAGGACCTCTGATCAGCACACAAAGCCCACTCACCCTACAGTGGAAGTGTTCACTGCAAATGCCATCTGGCTTTTTGGCTCTTCTTATTAATTACCTTTTTATTTGGCAGTAATCTCCATTAACCTGCCACACAAGTATGAAGAAAAATCTAAATTGGAAAGCATGAGCTAGCCATCCAATTGCAATGAGATGATGCTTGGTAGAAGTCTTATTAGTTACAGACAAAGCATAATGCACCACTGTTTCATCTCCGAAAAGTGCACAGAAGCTCCTCCTGTTGCAGCACAACCTGGCATATTCAGACAAAAGTAAACAAACAAAAAACGGAATTACAGAACAGATTTAATTGTCAAGGGCGCAGTGGCTAGCCTTGCTGCCTCGCAGCGCAGGGGCCCAGGAATTCCAGTTCGATTCTGAGTGGAGTCTGCATGTTCTCTCTGTGTTCGTGTGGGTTTTCTTCAGGTGCTCTGGTTTCCTCTCACAGTCCTTAAACATAACAGCAGGAAAACTGGCCCTGGTGTGACTGTGTGCGTGTTTGTGTCTGTGTGTCCTGTGATGGACTGGAGCCCGGTCACAGGCATACCCTGTCTCGAGCCCGTTGATTTCCAGGTTAGGGGTGGTTAAACAATGGATGGATATAACTAAATGTCACCACAAAAGCACCCCACTAACATAAGTGTGTGACCTATCAGTTTGAGTCACACAAACTAACGTTTCTAACATCAATGAAACCCTCCATTATTTTATGTCATGTCCATTATTTTAACAAGAAAATAAAAAAATGAACTCAATTGAAAATCACAATACACATATAAATTCATTGAAGATATATTTCACTCACCCAACAGCCTTTAACTGCCATTTCATAAAGCATTTCAGTTATATGAGTTGAACCATAATATCTAATATTCTCCCACCGGGACTTTTTGGTTTTGTATTCAACAACTTATTAAACACAAGACTAACACCTTTGCAAAAAAAAGACTAAACAAAACTGCTGAGGAAATGTCCTATCAGATCCTATTTACTAACCAAAAAAACAGAAAACAAAGCAGATAATTTTCAGTTTAAAACAGTTTAGCTTCCATACCCTACTACAGAATAATTACCACACAAACACAATATTTTTGTGATCATGGCAGATGAACAAATCTGAGAATCTTCCTCCCAAATAAATTACAAATATAAATACTAGCACGGCTCAGTTATATTTCCTTGGTAAAGGCTGGAAAAAAAAATGCCTTAAAAAATGACATTCAAAAACAGTAACAAACTGTATAACAATCTCTTTTACCACACATAGCTTCTTGTGTTTATAATTGTACAAAAAATAAATATTGTTTCTGTCAAGGAGGTAACCGCATTATTAAGAACTTACTACACCTTATATAAAAAAGATGTTGATCGCACAGCATACATTGCCTTCAATAGTTTCTAAAACAATCTGGAGCATTTGCTCCTGTTATTTGGCGAAGCTTACAACAGAACAAAGGCTACATTTACAGCTGAACTTTTTTGAAAAGGGGTTTCATTTTAAGTTCCTCAATTAATAATTAGTGTCAGCTGATGAGAAGCCCACATACGACAGGCGGCACGAAAAGGCTGATTCTTCCTCGCTATCAGCAATGACATCACAGTCCTTCAATCCTGCCAGATTTACTTAATCCAGAATCTTGATCATTTAAGACAAAAAAGCATTTGTCTCTATTCACTTTAGGTTCTTTTATCATACTGTAGTTTTGTTCTGATAAAGCTGCTGCTGACAGACAGAGCAGACTAGACTGACATGGGAAAGGGCACTCCACAATCACATCTCATCTCACATTTTAGTTCCCATTTTCTGTTCCATCAGCTTAGTTGGTTTCTACTGATATGAAGCTTTTTTCACTCCTTTTCTTCTTAGGAGCTACAGTTACTTTTATTAAATATATATTTTTAATGATCTTTTCACCCTCTGGTTTCACTCCAAATTAAACATTGGCAGTACGATATGTTCTTTCATGTTTTCTATTCATTACAAGCAAGCCTATATCACTACGTCTCTAGTTGCGTAAATTATAACTTCTCATAACAAGGTATGTCACATAGTCCTAATTTCACAGAATGTCCTCTACAGTATAATTTTTTAAATGGTGACCCTAAAGCAAGTATTATCCTCATGAAAACCTTAAAGGATGTTCACAGGTAAAATGAATAAACAAACGAATAAACCAGCTATTACCAATCAATTCCAAAACTACAAAGATAAACAATTTTGACATTAATAATAAAAGCAGAAATTAAACGGCTACCCTCTTCAGGGTCTATGCTGGTCTCCACTTCCTAAATTCATTTACAAATCTCTGAGGGCCTTTAGTAGACAGACAGGGCACATTGCTTATGTTAGTCCACTTATCATATACTACAGTATTAGGATATTAATTAGCACATCACTGATTTTTTCATAGTGGAAAATTCATTCACAAAACAACAGGTCACAATGCAGTGCTAAAACAGAAAGACCTAAAGCAAGGGGTTTCAAAGCAAAATCTGACACCTAGCTTTAAATTTTTTTTAAAGACAGGTAGAGCTGTATATCACCGGAGAGATACAGGAGAAAATAAACCGTGACAAAAAAGAGCCTGAAAAAGCTGATTTTCCACTATGGAAGTTACAGTGATTAGACAAATTAGGAATATAATTAAAGGCAGGAAACAAGCACTGAACAGCGGAGCCCCCTTGATGGCACCATTCACCCCCTGAAACACTGCTGATGGGGCAGAGTAGGGGTGGGCCCTCTCACCTCTTGAAGTTCCCACTGTCGGCCAGAGGGAGGGGCCGGCTGGAGGCCTGGTAAAGGTTTTTCAGGAAAGTAGGAGCTGAGAACGAAGCGGGGATGCTGGAGGAGGAGGAATCGCTTTCAGAAACACTGCGAGTGCGTCTCGAGATCGCAATGGGGCTGGGTAAGGCCAACGAAAAACACATTTTCACATTTAACAGAAAGGAGGAAAACAATGTTAAAAAAAACCAAAGCTGTATATTTGCTGTATTGTATATGTGTATATCAATTTTCTTGATGTCAGGGACATTAAGTAAGGGTAGCACTGGTCAAGAAGTCTGTTAAGATAAACAAGCATCTCAGTGGTGAGTTCCAGCAACTTCTCTTCTAGCATCTCTACAGACTTGGCATTAGAGAGACACAAATCTGTCTAGATCTGTGTGGAAACTGTCTTTAAAGCATTTAATACCCAGACTACAACTATATAGCATATTCAGTAGTGCATTCCCATTAATAAATCTCCAAAATGAAACGTGCAGTTTAATTACAACTTCTTTTTTAGCTACAATAAGATTTTTGGGACAGTCATACCTTGTTATTTGCTGGAGTTTTTGAAAAATACAACAGATAAGGAATTGACGAATAATGAAGCAATTACTTACACAAAGATTAATGTAAAATAGTTGGGTCAATTTCAGGGACTTACATACATTTGCAACAGTACAGTGTTCTTTCCTTTGATAGTTGCACAACACAACAACACAGCAATGAAACATAAATACAAAATAAACCAGGCCAATGTTTGTGTTTTAATGTAACCTTACTTTTTTTATCATTGTTAGAGTTTGGTGAACTTTACACTAATGTACACGTTACTTATTTTATTCTGATTTGCTGTTTGCTTGCAGGCAAGTTATCAATCTTTGAAAAACACTGAATGTGCATGCAGTACAACAAATTGTAGTCCATGCTGTCATCTGCAGCCCATCAGCCCCACTTTAGTTGGGCAGCTTAGGAAGCTGCTGGGGGAACATATCACAACCAAGACCCTGCGCTGCAGCAATGATGAATAATAGGGTTTGAAATAAGTATACCAGCAATGGATAAAGATTCAACAAGTAGATTTGTGGGACTGTACATACAAATAGTATGTTGTTTAACTAAATACTAAAACGTGTTTAAATATGAGTAAATGCCTTCTAAATATGACTAAATAGATACTAGATAGTATCAATTATTCAGATATTAACATTTTTGGTACAATAATATAACAATAACAAGTGTTCTGTCATAACACTTGTCATGAGGTTACGTCATAAAAGGTTCTCCTTGCTAAAGCTAAAACCAAGCTCTCCGTTAAAAAAAAAGTTTGTACTGTGTTTGCATTAAATTAGTACCAAACCACAACAACTGGGAGTTATAAGCCACTTTTCTCATAAGCAGTGTTAGCTCAGATGGTAAAAAGCACGAGATTAAATGTGAATTAAAACATCTTCCATTCAAATTCATATCTCATACTTTTCTTACAAAATCAATTTGCTTGCCACTCTTAAGCTATTTAAGATGAGTTTTTTACTTTACTACAATATATAACAGACAGAACAATACATGTATTTTTTTCTGTACACTTCATCTGGCATCACCAGTCTTTCACAACAGGCCCTATAGTATTGGGGATGACAATAAGAATCATAACACACCTTCTATCGTCTGCAAGTTCAGAAACAGAAAATTTGACAACAAAATCAAACTACATTCCTTCCTATCTGAGCCTGTTTTGCAAAGGGTAAAAATAAGTTATGAGAGAAAATTAGATATAAGGTCCACAAAACCAAACGATGTAGAGTATTGCTGCCTCAGGCAGAAAGAGTGAGCTGGTTTTCACTGTACCTGCTCTGCAGCAGCTCAGGCGCCACAGACTGCTGCCTCTGGATGGGCGATCTGCTGCTCTGAGATCGGGAGTCTGGGAAGGAGATCCTCTTCTTGCTGGAGGGTGGGTGGCTGAAGGTGTGAGCTCGTCTCCTGAACTGCGGAGAGTCGGGGTCTTCCTCGGGGAAGGCCTGTCCCAGCGAGGACACTGGGGAGGCTGGTGGGGTTGTAGGGGGAGAGTCCCCGGGGGAGCAGTCCTGCAGAAGGAACCATGCAGCTGACTTTCAGAGGTCTGAGCAGCTCATGGCAGGAAACATGACAAAACTCTTGATCCATACACACGGAGCCACAGATCTATTGTATGTAAATTTTCTGCTGGACTCACTTCCTGTGACTCGCAGCGACACCACCTCGTGTTTTTCTAGAATCATACTTGGAACCAAGTCTACTGTAGTTCTTTTTTCCACCCACCAGAATTTTTTGTAAATAAAAAGGGCACATTTTAGGAGTTCAGCAAACCCTGTGTAGTCGGAAAACACCCCTTGACAACTGAATCAGTGCTTCCTTTTCATATCAGCAACATATTTCCTGTAGCTTTCCAAATATTCTGGAAGACAAACTGTTATTTCAGGATACCACTACTCATCAAAAAGAGATTTCAGGAAGGCAGAAATTTTCGAACAGTAATGTGACAAATGACACCAGAGACAAAAGTCATCCCTGTTATGACAAAAGCCCAAAAGATAAAACCAAAAAAAACCCCACAAAAATCCATTTGACATCAGTAATTCATGTCATCACAGAAAAAAACGTCTGAGGAATGATATCTTAGAGCTAGTGCTTCTAATAATTTTCCATAATCTGACACGCTTCAGGATTTGATTTGTAAATTTTATGAACTCTAACAAACCAGGTCAGAGACTCAATTAAAGGCTGCCATAGCATTTCATGCACAAATCCCACAAAGACTTAAAGTGACAGATACATTTTGAATGAGGTCTCATTAAATACATACCTTATCGGAGGCTAGGCTGCTGGACCGCTCATAACTGTCCATGCTACCAAGACGACCTCTCATTCTGCTTGCTCCCTGTTTTAACGATACAAGATTAAACCACTCTAAAATCTTGTTCTATATAAATAGAAAATAATTAGTTCAAAAATCAGGATTAACCTACAATATTATCACAAAATATTGTATATATTATATATTATAGTGATAGCTGATGTGTGGTGAGCGTTCTGGTGCACTATGGCTGCCGTTGCATCATCCAGGTGGGGCTGCACATTGGTGGTGGTGGAGGGGAGTCCCCATTACCTGTAAAGCGCTATATAAGTGTAAGCAATTATTATTATCTTCAGAGAACACGTCAGGGCTGTGAAGATTAAAGATCTCTCCAAGCCCATTGTTTCTCATTTCACCTCTGACGGCCACGACCACACTAATCTCTCCCTCTGTGTTCTCAAAGACGGTTTTCCGAACTCATACATCAGAAAGACCACAGAAACTAAAATTATTCTGCAGTTAGGATCACAATTCTCCCTTCCCTTAACGACAGATTACTGTTCTTTTAAATTTTCTACATTCATTGGAAGTTTCATTTCACACCTCTCTGCACCCATTCTGACTTCACACCTCTTGATTGGCCTCTCTTTCTGTCCCCTGCTCCCGCCTCTCACTCCTCCTCCCTCCCAACCTTTGTTCGCTACTTTACCTTTGCCTACTGCCCTGTCTCTCTCACACCTGAAGAAGGCTCCACGGCCGAAACGTTGTGTTCCCTTTCTTCTTTTTTTCAGCATGGAATAAACCTATTACTTTTTCTTTGCAGCCTATGCATGCTGACGCAGCTACCCACCTCAATTATTATTATTATTATTATTATTATGTACATTTATTATCATTCTGAGTCATACTTAGTTGCATTTAAACGAATGGCTATGTACCATTATTTGTTTAAAAAGCCTTAGAAAGCATTTTAAAAATTGGCTGTTCTGTTCCAAAGTTATAATAACTTAAGATATAATAAATAAGTTATAATAACGATTCCCTATCATTAGCCTTTTTGTTGCACACAGCCTTTTTGTTGCAGAGAAGCTGTGTTTATGGCATAAATGTGGCTCATCATTACATCATTACATTATTAATGTGGTAAATCATTACAAGATAAAAAAAACCTGAAACTATGCTTGCACATGATTTATTTCTTGCTAACAATCTAAAAGTATTATTCTCTTCCTTGCAGAGAACAGTGCAAATGAAGTTGTGTGTGATGATCCCATAGCCTACATCACATTTGAATATTCCTGTTTGTAACATCTTATGATACAGCTTTGAATTCCACAAAATAGACACTGTTTTGTGCTTTAAAACACAAACAGATGATTGGGCAGGAAAAAATGTTCTCTTCTCAAACAAAAGTATGTATTTATCTATCACTGTGGTGTAAATAGGTCAAAAATAAACTGCTCCAATGTGCTAGGGGCCACTGGAAAACAAGGAACAGTTTTCATAAAAGTAATTAACCTCAGTGATGCAGGAGAAAGTAAGGAACATTGATGCAAATTAAGTAATGTAAAACATTGGGATTTCCACATATGTAAGAATGTATTTAGTTAAATATTAATTTAATTATTCAATAAATTTACTTATTCACATCAAAGGCCTCCTGTTCAATAGCTGTCAGATGTTCGATGTTGGCATTGTATAATGTTTCTTTGTTTTGGAGTGAAATTAGCCATTCAAAATGAATCAGTTGTGCCATCAATTAAAGACAGCTGTCAGCATCCCGGCCTTTTGAGACCGGTCTCAGCATTAAGAGAAAAACCAAAGCAAAAAAGAAACAGCTCTGATCTCAGCTCAGTCTTTACTGATGCACATTCCTCTATGCTTGATGTGTCTGGCTGTGAAACGAGCTTCACAGGAAAAATAATAGGCTCTCTGAGTTCAGTAAAATCAAACAGGAAACCTCTCACACTGTTCTACCATGTGAATTAAAAATGGCTCAACAAGACAAATTACTATTAATTAACAGTCAATCTAACTACAGATTACTACTAATCCTTAGGATTCAGATTTAGTCTAAACATGCCCTACTTAAAACTGCGATAAGCTGCCAGCTGGTTAAAAACCTTTATTCTGGTTAAATCTATGCAAAAATAATGTTTTCCTTGCCATGTACATTTCTGCCAAACCAATGCAAACAAATATTTTTTGTACTTTACATACCTTTTCACATTCTCATTTCACAATTATAGTACCAAAAAACTATAACAGAAAAAAATAACCAAAAAAAACAAAGCTAGAGATGAAGGCACTTAAACAAAACTAATTATCATGAGATGGCTACACATACCCTTGAAAATATATTTTCCAGAGAGTTGGTCAGAGACTTCCGAGCCTTGTTCTTCAAAACGTCGAGTTTAAACCTGCCGCTTGTAGAAACGCTCTCCGACAACCCGCTGTTTGATGAGTTTGGCTTTCAAGTGCAACACAAAAAGGAGAGATAACACAAACATATAACATGTTTTGTTCATATAACAAAAACTTGAGAACAGTTCATAGAAAGTCTAATTAAAAAATGAAAAAAAATACTTTTTCAATTTTGTCAACAATTATTTTCCAGAGATTTCCAAATATAGTCCCCCACAGCCATAGGGAGAAGTTAATTTATATAAAGTTAATTTATTGCCACACAATATAAAAAAATAGTTCTCCAGGAAAAGAGGATTGAAAATGACTAGATGAACAGCTGGATAATAATTTTGCTTCAAGAGCAGGAGTTTGCAGTTCAGCATCACCATACAACACACTGTATGGTGATGCAAGCACTACAAGAACATAATACAGCAGAATACAGGTCTACAATCACACGTATTTTACCAAAATCCTTTATCAACATGTAACAACAAATTCTTGGGAATATCTACTTGGGTTTTTCCATTCCACATTAAATCTGAAATGAAAAACCATGAAACCAAAATTTTCAAAACCTTAAAAATGACCACAACTGAGAAAGTTTTTTTTTAAAACTAAGTTACACACAATACACAATCTACTTAAAAAATAACATCAATGACCTTCTTTTTATCTCCCAACAGAATGAGATATTTTTTTATCTAGTTTTTAAATAGTTTGCCTTAACTTCAGCCAGCCAAAGATGTTATGTAAAAATTGAAGACCCAACAGCAGAGGCCTTTTTTTACAGGACATTGTACTGTGCCTCAATTCCTACTGAATGTGCGAGATCTCTATTCTGAAACGTCTGAAAAGGGCACTTCCGCTCCTGAATTACAGTTGTCAGGTAAGGCCAGATGGTTCCCTGATCATTCCTACTATGACTTTTCTGTAAATTTATTGACAAACATAAAAAGCTTTTGTCTTGAACAGAAAGGAAAAGGTAGAAAAGGTTCTAAATTAGAGAAGAATTAGGGATTATTTTCAGAAGAAAGATGACAGAGAAGTTATAGGAGCTTGTTATCTTCAGCTGCTTTGAGACACAAGTACTGAATTCATCCACATCTCTCCTGGGTTTTAAATTTTAAATAAGACAGATGAGCCGGTTTAACTGAGTGGGGCACTGTGCTGCTGCCCGGTTCAACACACGATTGGATTTTTTTCGTATTAGCTTAAAGGAAAGAACCTGTAACCATGTAAACCTGTTTTGCATACAGGTACAGGGTAATCCCTTGCATTTACAAGGGACATGTGTGTCTGCTATGATGTATATGCAAATCCCCTCCAATCTTTACAAAGTCTGAGTAACATGGAACCCTAACAAACAAAACCACACTTTTAGATCAATCCTATTATGTTAACTGCCCTGTGACAAGCGTAAGTGAATAAAGACCCCTGTCTGATTTCATTTTCATGGTCTTGTCACTTCGGATATAGTGCACTTATCTAACAACAGGGAGCAGCAGTGCTGTGCTGCAACAGGGAGCAGTGGACTACGGAGCCGTACCTGGGGAGTCTCTCCAATGTGAAGATGAGTTTTTTGTTTAGCTTCACACAACTGCCTTAGGTGCAGAATCACCAGCTCGTTTTCCTCTTGATCGCTGCTTGGCTTCATTTTCTACAAGGAAAAGGTCTTGCATCTTTAGGATAACAATTAAGATAACAGAAAAGCCATTTTATACCTTTTTATATCATTATTGAACAAATAGAAGCACCTAATCTAATGATCAAGTTTTGTTTGGACTGATGTATAATGTTAAGAGAATATAAATCCACATATTTCTTTCCCTGCAAACATTAAATTGAAAAGCTAAATTAATGCTGCTTATGTACAGTATTACTGGTATATCAGGTGGGTAGCTGCATCAGCATGCGTAGGCTGCAAAGGAACAAGTAATAGGTTTACTCCATGCTGAAAAGAGAAAAAAGAAAATAAAAAGTTTCGACCATGGAGCCTTCTTCAGGTATCTTACTAGTATTACTATTAAGATTATTACTAGCGGCTTATGGACACACCAGCATTCGGGCAAGTTGGCTATGGTTTTTGAATAGTATAGGAAAAATAAAAAATGGAAATGGGTCTTCTCAAGACCAAGGAAATCATTAGTTTTTAAATTGGTAGGGTGGAGGTAGACGTTAACTGGGCTGAGCTCTATTCATTTTGGAGCAGAAGAGAAGAAGAAGCCAGATGGTGACGTTCATCCACTAAAGAGGACTTGGCAGTTGGTTACTTTGCATTTGGTATTAGTAAATATTGGAAAAAAGAGCTATTATTATTTAGCTAACTGATAAATCTTTTTAAAAAGCTAAATACAGGGATTCAAGAATACAAAAAGGTTTTCACCAGAACATGGTAGTAGTCAGGCTGAAACCAAGTTCTGCCTTTTTCACATGCAGGAATCTAATATATGTCAACAGATACATCTGAGCCACCCGACTCCCTAGCAGATGTAATATATACGCACATATTTTACCTGAACACGTTCAAAAATGTCAGCCTGTTCATTGTCATTCAACAAGGAAAGATGTCTCTGTATGATAAGCTTTGCTCTTGGTGGGTAAAGACCTACAAGAGGGTTAAAAAACAAAATAGATTAATCTTTTTTTATTCATTAAGTTTTTCTAAGACTGGAAAAGCTAAAGTTTCAAATTGTGTAGGTATGACAATGGCATTTGTATTAAATTATCTGGACATACCATAATAATTATCTACAATGTTAGATATGAATTGTTTAAGATTAAAAATATAAAGTGACAAAGAGAGTACTTAATACAATCTTATATATTGATGCATTTCACATGAAAATTAGTAGGCACTACACTAAAAGCAAAATGGCACAGTGGGCAAGTGTCAGGTTACCTTCTATCCTTTCACAGAGTTTGTGTAAGTCATGCATTGGGCAGGCTTCACACAACTTGATTTGGGTTTTTGCATTCTGAAGAGCAGCAGCAGTACTAAATGCTTGTTTCAGAGTCAGCATCACCTCATCCACCTGCCAGGAAAACAGAAAACCAGAAAGAATTGGGTGGCTTTTTTATCTTGTTTTCGATTGGGTGACCGGTACAAAACAAGAAATACATACAGTGTATTATAAACACATTTGCTGTTGCCAAAGAAATACAAAGGGGCAGTGGCTTTTCAACAAGTAAAAAACAGTGGAAACATGAAGAAAATACTTTAGACAAGCCATGGCATAAATAATACAGTTGTGTGGCACCTATCATTGTTTTTATGTGAATAGCTTTGTATCACAAAGCCCGTGGGGGCTACAAGAAAAATGCACTCTTTGCCTGAATGGGACAGGATGATAAAGAAAATACTTTTACAGCTGCACAAAATAACTTTTCCTTGATGCAACAAATCCAACACTGTTTAACAAAGCAACACGATGAGAAAGGGAATACAAAACAGGCTTTAGTGTTGTGGCAGAGAGAATTCCAAGAGTATACTGTTCTCTACTATGAGACGGCACTCACCAGAGACTCACTTGCACACTGGAAAACATAGCACACATACTGACTTGGACCTGACTCAATAGCTTCACGGCAGATGAAACCAAAGTGATCAGTTTGTTTAATGCCCTGTAGAAAAGAAAATATACAGATACATATTCGTACACATACATTGAACACCGCATAAGTCTTGCTCAATTATTAAAAGATTAAACTTAACTTTTATGGTAAACAGATACAGTGCTTATTTATTGAATTTAAAGTGTTTTCTATTCCTTAAAAATGTAGGCAAAAACAGGCAGAGCATTATTGAAATTTTTGCCTTATAAAGATAAATCTAGAATATTGTAAGCTTTTTATTCGTACATAATCATTTGAAGATTAGGTAGTTTCGCCCTATAATCAGTACAGATAGAAATATTATTTAAATAGAATCACTGACAATTGTTTTATTGATATACTGACCTGAGAACATGAAGAAATATCTTTAAAATTCTTTTCAAGCACCACTGATTTACTGTCAGGACTAATAAGGTTTACTTCAAAACGTCCCACCTATAAAAAAAAAAAACATAAAATAGTCTATCTGAAAGCCGCTCTCTAAGGAAACCAACAGTACTGAAAACTAGTTCATAATATCTTAAGATGAGTGGAGAGTATCTCACGGCAGAGGGACATAAGGCTTTATGCAAAACCTGTCATTGTGAGCTACATACTATAACTCCACTGCTCCCATTTAATCATTCCATCCAATCTCAAAATAATTTTATTTAAAACTAGACATGATAGCACCGCTGTAATGCACTGTAAAATGTGTTTCCTAGTTTTGGAACTTAGTCATTCAAAGGCAAATGCTGAGCATTTGTTAAGATAGAATATTAAGAGCGATTCAAACACCAAAAAAATCATATTATTTTAATGAGGATCTGCTTTGTAATCAATGCAATCAGTGGAACTTTTATTTCTGAGTTACTTCTGCAGTCCTCTACTCTCCTCAATTTATGAAGCATCTAGTAACTCTTCTCTGGTCTCTCTGCCTCTCTGTGGCAAACCTAGACCAGTCACTCTGGCATGTTTGCTGCTCTTTGATAGCCCAGGAGATTACACCCAGGATTACTGTAATCTACAAATGAGCACCCTTGTACCTGGAAGAGCATGGTCCTGTTCTTTTCTGCATCTGAGGGCTGCACATGGCTTGGCGCACTGGCGTGTCTCCGGCGCAGTGGACCCGTCAAGTTGCTATCTGACACCTTTTTTTGCAACCCTGCAGCCAGGCTGTTGCACCGGGTCCTGAACTCCTGCTGATCATCAAACCCTGAGTCCTCCAAGATGCACTCCGGAAAGGCACTGCGGGACCCATGGAGGCTGGCTTGGCTTGCGCTGGCCGAAAGGACACTGTTCCCATTCACGCTGTCCGCCGCCCCACCGCCCTCCCCGCGATCGGGTGGGCTGCTCAGGAGCGGCGTCAGGGGGTCTCCTTCTCCAACTATAAAAGATACCGAGTCTGTCGACCCTCTCTGGTCATTCAGCAGCTTGATGCGTTTGCTCTCCAACTCATGCTGCTTGAACTTCTCAACGCAGTCGTCAATCAGGGTGGAAGGGGCCTTTTTGTGAAGGACCGTCACCTTCCCGCAGTAGAGAACCTCAAACCTCTGGGAGTTGTAAAAGGCCTCCTCTCCCTCCTGCTTGGTCTTGGCATCCTCTTTGAGGGCTGCCTTCGACACCTGCCGGATACTGCTGATGACATCAGGCACCTGGGGGGATAGACACAGACGAACTTCAGCAAAAGACACTAACCTGCAGGAATACTCTCATCTTCACCCAATACACTGATAAAGCACTTCAGTGATAAAGGTCACATCAAGCCTATTAGACTCAAGCCTAATAATCTATCTTAGGAGCTGCAGTTCTGGACTGTGAAGTACTCAGCAAAGTTGCAAATCACTGTTATCAACAGTAACAATTGTTACATGGGGAGAAAAAATCCAAATAAATATTTAAAAAAATGAGGAACTGCAGAACAGATTGGAAGTCATGAATTAACTACGGCACTGGGCCATTGCATGGTCACTTTTGTCCTTTGAAAAAATAGCACAGTACGACAAAGAATATAGTTTTATAAATGTTCAATGAGGAGCTGTCAGCATGCTTTCTTAAATACTCAAATACTTAGACATCAGCTAATTTATTAAATAATTTTAATATGAAAGAGAAAGTTAAGTGCACATAGAACTTAAAACAGAGCAATACCTTCTCTTTTTGAATCCTTTTGAAGAGAAGAGACATTTTTTCTATTAATACAATCACAGCAAAACACCTTTACTTGGTACTGACAAGTCTAACAGCTATCAAATAAAGCACTGTGTCGTACTTTTGAACAAAAACACTCAAGACGCCATTTACTTTAGATCATTTCCTCCTTATTTGCTATTTGAGGCTTAAGGGCAGTTCTTAAATCTCCTAGTTTTTTCAAATGATGTCACTTAGCTGTTCAGCAAAATGAAACCGTTACTCTGGGAAATGTGTTTTCTGGGTGGAACTACACTACAAACAAATTTCAAGGGACAGAATTTAAAAGATTAGGATATTTATTTTTTATTTCATGTTAATAAAACAGAATTCTCTGAATTCTTAATTTACCTGAAACCAGTTCTTGCTAAAATCCATACTTTTAATACAACTTAACACTTTATGTAGGAACTGATTCTTAAAAAATTGTTTTTAGTGAGGTGCAACACGTTATAGGATATAAGCCAAGATATGATGTTCTACCAGAACACAAAAAAGAACAGTTTGGGGGTAAAGGAGTTCACATTCAGGTTTTTCTAACACATATCAAGTACTGCAGATCAGTGGGTGAAGATCCAAGTTTATTCTGTTGGTATTAAAATATCTGGCAGCATAAATATGAACCTGGCATAGACACCTAGTAGGGCAGTGTTCACATGTCTATTTTTTGTGAACCACATGAATAATTATTCCAGATTCAGCACCATAAAACTGTAATTGTTAAAGAAAACACACTGGTTGCCATTCATTTTCAATGTCTTCTCAGTTTATCATACATTTAAAACATTTTAATCTGTAATTCTACAGGCATTATTATACACAGAACAAAAACACAAAGTCAGCAATTCAGACAATTACTCAGCAATTAAGATCACTGTCAGTATAAAATATACCGATCCCTGTAATTCTCTTCTTTGTAGAGAACTACACAAGGTTTAATTAGTCCGAATTATTGTGCTGTACAGAGGGATAAGCAGGACTGAAGATGTAGTTCATGGGAGCCCGTGGTTCTCACAAAAGTCACCAGACAGCAGTAAATGTAAATTAATTAAAGCTCATTATTGATCACTTAACTATGAAATGAAAATCAAATATGTGTAACAAATGCAGCTGAACTGTTAAGAAGAAGCAAGTAAAGGAGCCAGATCTGCACCATTTGCAGATTAGAACACTTCCTTTTGATATTTCTCTTTAGGGTGAATTTATGCGTTTTATTCCTCCTCCCCATTTTTCATCTGATTCATAAAAGCTTCTCGTTGTGTTTTAGTCAAGCATATTTCTCCGTAGGTCCTCCACACAAATGTTATTGTGAAATGTTTTCTTTGCTATCATCAAACTCAGATACGTCATTACACAGCACCTGGTTAACACAGAGTGTATTCTTTGGCAACAGCTTTTATTCTCTGCCAGTTAAACATTTGAAAAGTAAACCTTGCAAAGCCTAACAACAATAAAAGCAATTTAATATAACTAGATGTACCTTGACAGAAAGCTTTGCAAAAATAACCCTGGTGACAAAACTGGACTGCCAGCCAAACCAGCCTGAGATGAAAAAGCAAGCTGGCACATGTAGCTAAAAAGAGAATGGCTGGCCAAAAGCAAAGTCACAGGCTGGTGTGATTTTATCACACAGCTTAAATTCAGCTTCCCTGTTCTGGAAATATATGAGTACCCTGCAACACTGTGTCAGGTCTAATTGATAAATGCTTTCTATTTCAACTACAAAGCTCTGGAGTTACAAGGCCACTCCCTCAGAGCAAACAGCCATACTGAAGGTGGTATGGAACTTGATCACAGATTCTGTATAACATTTCTACCCTTGCAGACACAAAACCTGCTTTACTGAGGAACAGCTAAAGGTTAATTCCACACTGAAAAGTAGAGAAAAGAAAGATTTTGGCTGAGCCCTCTATAAGTGCAGAAGACTCAAATCCAAAACGTTGCATTTCTCCTTATTATTTTCAGTGTGGAATTATCCTTTAGCAGATCCTCCGCAACCAATGCACGTTCACACTGACCCCCACTCAAACGTCTTAAATCAACGTTTTACTATAGCTGTAGTTAGTTTGGTGACGCAATGGATTTAGTGTAGGAATCTACAGTACCATCAGGGAACTGTTCAGTTAAAAAAAGGCCAGATTTTTTACTTGAGTTTAATTATTTGAGTGCTGCATAACATAGTATACAGTTTATGGATGTCACTCTGTAGTGACTGAGGAGGGAACTGCAGGAGGTCATATTTATATCCAAAGAAAGTACTGTGAGACAATGTGGTAATCACAGTTGCTGTTAACGACAGCCTGGTTATGCACTACTTCGAAGGACGTCATTCATCATTTACCAGGTAACTAAAACAGCAGAATGGTAGTTTTACTGGCTATTGTTTTTGCTTAGGGTGCCAACCCTGAGCTGAGTAAATGCATAAAGCCAGCAACCACAACTGGCCACCCACTGAAGCTCAGCAGGTGTGAGCATGGTCAGTACCTGGATGGGAGACCACCTGGGAAAAACTAAGGTTGCTGCTGGAAGAGGTGTTAGTGGGGCCAGTAGGGGGTGTTCAGCCTGCAGTCTGTGTAGATCCTAATACCCCAGTATAGGCATACTTGGATGAGACATAGAACCAAGGTCCTGACTCTCTGTGGTGTCTCTCGAAAAGAGTATGGGTGTTACCGTCGTGTCCCGGCCAAATTTCCCCATTTCCCCATAGCCTTTAACAGTCATGGCTTTCTAATAATAATCTATAAATTGGATTCATTACTCTGTTCTCCTCTCCATTGAAAGCTGGTGTGTGGTGAGTGTACTGGTGCACTAAGGCTGCTGTCGCATCATCCAGGTGGGTCTACACGCTGGTGATGGAGGGAAGTTCCCATTACCTGTAAAGGGCTTTGAGTGGATTGTCCAGAAAACGCTATATCGGTGTAAGCAATTATTATTATAAAGAAGTAGACAGGATATCAATTACATGTTTTAAAGAAAGTTAAAAAGGTAATTATTAGGTCAATTATTCTTCTCTCTACTACTAAACACTTTGCCAGATCAAGTACATACATAATAGCAGAAAACAGGACAGGAATGTCATGTCTGACTTTAATTCATTTTAGATTTCTATTTGATAGAAAAACTGTTTCTACTTTTGCATCTTCCTTATTTTCAATCTAACCAATGCTTCCATCCAGAACCCAGCAGCTTTAGAAAGTGACAACATGGTTTTAATTCAGCTTTTAAATTATGGAGATTCTATCAGGAAAGAAAGTACAGTGCTAATTTAACATCTCAATTTGACTGTTGCTTTTGATAAGCAGAATAGCTGGATATCAGCAGCCTCCTCCTTCAACCAACAACAGACAGTTAAACAAACAACTCTCTCAATTCTCTGGACAAGGTCAAATATAAAAAGCTCACAGCTATCGGCTACACTGCCACCTCAACAAGGAACAACAAGGAAAGGCATAATAAATAATAAAGACTGTCTAATATTTCAATACAGTCGCTATTTATTATTTTTACTTTATGTTAGGAAAGCTTAATTCTTCTATAGGAAGTACGTTTGGAAAGAAGCTGGAAATAATCTTTTGTGATAATGTCAAGAGTTTCACACCTTGTGTACAGAAAAAAACATTTACATCATTGTAAATTTACTCAATAATGAAGACTGGAATAGAGTGATTTTTGTTTTAATAATTTTGCAGTAAATAAAAGAATTTCACATTTTCATTATTCTTTTGGTTGGATCGATGTGTGAAGTGCTAGAATTCTATTACACAATGATCAAACTCATATTTCCCTTTTAAGTAATTCAACATAGCTCACGCAGAAGCTAGAATATCGGACTTCAACAGAACCTGTAGGGAATCTCATCTGCACAATAAACTAGACCAGAATATCGTAGGATGTATCCATGATCTACAGCTTCAGAGGTTTCTGAGGGTATTTTAACAATTAAAAATAATTAATACTGTATCGGTAACAGTGGCATTACTTCTACAACATACACATTATTTGATTTCATGTTGAAGATCAGGGTCCTGCCAGCAAGACATTTCTTTAAAACCAAGAGAAGCTGGAGAGTCCTTGAATTAAATAATCAGTTCCCCCACTGAACAGGATTTGCCATTATATCACCCACAGAATCAAAAACGTATTTATACAAAGCTGGAATTCCCACTATTAACCATGAGAAAATGTACTTTGATCTGGTCGCTCGTTTATAACACACATACTGTATATGCCATAACTAACTGGAAATGAGGTCTGCATCGTGCATACAAAAATATCCCAAACAATAGACCACCCACTGAAAAGTGTGAGCCGGACAGAACTGGGGTAAAATGATTTTAAACTACATTAAGAAAAACAGCTGCACTTAAATGCAAGGATTTGTCTTTAGGATGGGTACGCTTTGAAACTGAACTACTCGAAGCAGGCACCATGTGAACAAAGCAAAGAGCTACTCTTAATGATGCGT